GTGTAATTGACGACTAAAATTATAACTATGCCAGGGAATTCTGATATAGCGAACGAAGAAATAAACAAGTTTATTAGTGATGTACAACAGGGGTAAGTTGTTTGCAGCTTTGCAAAGGAGGCAGATTGATTATATTGAAATGTACTATGGAGCAGGGTTCTCTAATCTCTGTGCTTTGAATAAACAACAAATTCTGTTTGTACTGAATTTCTTTTAATTTATTTTGAGAATTATTACAAACTTTTGAGGCTATTGACAATATATTTTCAAATTCATTATATGCTCTTGTTTCAGAAAAGTATGGGGTTCCTATGACATAGCATTTAACACAGTCAACTTGCTGAAGAAGGTCATTGGCCATGGAAACTGGCAAACTGCTCAGTAAGTGGTTAAACCACCTGGAATGCCCCATCAATAATGTGGTTGTGGTGGTAGTTTGATGCTGAGTGTGTGTGATTTGATTGTGATATTGCAGAGATCTTGTGGCACTAGTCAGTGCAGAAGGCAGAAAGCTAACAAAGGCACTTCCACTGCAGGCATCAGTAGGCAACATGGTCAGGCGGGTTCTCAAGATAATCCGGGAGGAATATGTAGCCACTCAGCAGGTAGGACAAGCCATAATGGTCACTGGAATTGGTTTTCACAAAGTTTATTTACCTCATTACTGCCTTTGCAGCTCCCCATACCTCTTGTGTCATGTCATGCATTTTTTTCATAGTAAAAGTTACTGGTACTAACAAAATGGAAGTTAATTGCCGATCTTATATCGTTGCATTTGGGGATATATGAACAAAATAGAAATTTAAACCGTCCAGGTCCATTAAACAGACTGTTCCAGACTGTTAATTGTAAAATATTAAATCTGTTGCCAAAACAGATTTGGTGTGCAAAGCCACAAGAATACATCATGTGTGCCTGTTTTCCATTATTTAAAAAGCACATTACTTTTTTAANAAGCCACAAGAATACATCATGTGTGCCTGTTTTCCATTATTTAAAATGCAAATTACAGTCAACTCTCGATTATCCGGGCTAATGGTGGGGATGG